ATGTCATTTCTTGTTAAGGATGAATAATATTCCATTGTATGGATGTGTATCACCTTTTGTTTATCCATTTATCAGTGGACATTTAAGTCTCTCCCTTTTGGCTGTTGTGAATAATGCTGCTGTGAACATTGGTGTATGCTTTAGTTTTAAACCATGACATGTATATGTATGTTACCAACCATGTCAAAAGAGCATCAGGGGGTTTCAGAGAACTACTTTTTCCCCAGATCTCACCACGATAAAGAGCTCTTGTTCATCTTTAGATTTCTTTTTTTTTTTTTTTTTTTATTCATGAGAGAGAGAGCGAGAGAGAAAGGCAGAGGGAGAAGCAGGCTCCCAAAGAGCAGGGAGCCCGATGAGGGACTCGATCCCAGGACCCTGAGATCATGACCTGAGCCGAAGGCAGACGCTTAACCATCTGAGCAACCCAGGCGTCCCATCTTTAGATTTCTTATCAGAGGAGTATTTGCTGACTTTGAAAGAGTGGATTAGGGTGCCTGGGTGGCTCAGTCATTAGGCGTCTGCCTTCGGCTCAGGTCATGATCCCAGGGTCCTGGAACCGAGCCCCATATGGGGCTCCCTGCTCGGTGGGAAGCCTGCTTTTCCCCCTCCCACTCGCCCTGCTGGTGTTCCCTCTCTTGCTGTGTCTCTCTCTGTCAAATAAATAAATAAAATCTTGTAAAAAAAAAAAAAAAAGCGTGGGTTAAATGTCGAGTTAGGAAAAAAGACTGGTTTTTAGCTGGTTGGTGGTGAATGGGAAGGTTCAAGGTTATTTAAAAAATAACTTTAGGATTTTAGTATGTAATTCTGAAAGGTTGCTTCATAAAAATTATTAAAGATCTCTTTGAACATACATAACAAAGCTGCTTATACATCTCCCAAAACACACTTCAATATTTCAGGCTGACTCTTGCTTGTGGTGGAGTAGCCCTAAATTCCTTTGATGACCTAAATCCTGATTGTTTGGGATATGCAGGACTTGTCTATGAATATACATTGGTAAGTGTATTTTCTTTCCGAAGATAATAATTTTTGGTTCATGAATTCTTCGGTAGTAAAAATTCATTCAAACTTAGGATCAGATTTTTGCTTTGTTTACATACATTTTGAAGGTTATGTGTAGTAATGATAAGCTATTGATGGGAAAAATCACTTTTATACGCATTTTTTTTTTAAGTAATTTGCTTTAATGTGATTGGTGTGTTGTTCCCTTATTAATATACTACTTATTCTTCCGTAAGCCCTCTACTCTTTTCATTCTTTGTACAACCATATCCTGTTTTTGAAAATATTTTCCCTTCTTCATTCACATAGGGAGAAGAGAAATTCACTTTTATTGAGAAATGTAACAATCCTCGCTCTGTCACATTATTGATCAAAGGACCAAATAAGCACACACTCACTCAAATCAAAGATGCAATAAGAGATGGCTTGAGGGCTGTTAAAAATGCTATTGATGATGGTAAGATCTTTACTGTATTTATATTCTTTGGCTAGTGTGAAAGGCATGGCTGAATACTGTGTTCTTTTTATCAGTAGTTTACACAGCCAGACACCATGCAAAAGTAAAGTCTTCCCTTTAAAATGCCTGTGATGGTGTGCTAAGCTTTTTCATAGCATACCATTTTTAAAAGTGGATACAAGTAAATGAACTAATACTAAGAGCTTGCAAGTACTAGTTGAATTGAACCATTTTGCTATTTGATGTGTTGCTTATAATGCTTTCAAGTGCAGTATTAACATTGTGGTGGCTATACTACATTCTCGGGAAATTAATGTTTTTTATGTTATGTTTTATGTCTTTCCTTAAAATGATTCTACAGTTTTGTTAGTTCAGCACTTCTCTCCTCTCCCCGCCTCCCCCAGGCTGTGTGGTTCCGGGTGCAGGTGCAGTGGAAGTGGCAATGGCAGAAGCCTTGATTAAGTACAAGCCCAGTGTAAAGGGCAGGGCCCAACTGGGAGTTCAAGCGTTTGCTGATGCATTACTCATTATTCCCAAGGTATGACTGCTTTAACAGTCCGTGTTCTTAACTACATCAAAATGAGTTAGCTGATGAAAGTATTTGATAATGTGGGGTCTTTTTCATAATGTAGATTTTGAGTAAACAGGTTTTATCAGCTTTCTCCTGAACGTAGCTAGAGCAGGTATCTCTCATCATCCAAATGTATTTGGTTCCTCTGGAAGGGAATTGAGTATCTGAAGTTTCAGGTGCAGGAGATAAACTGTTTTTAGAGGGTTTGCAGTGTAGGGGTTATACTAGAGTACAAGCTTGCTTTTTGTTTTTATTCTATTGTGTGCTCATTTGGGGGTATTGCTTATGATCGGTGTGTTGCTGGGCTTGAAATGGATCAATGAGTTAGTAACAGATGCCTATTCTCTGAACATAAATAATGGTCTGTCTTCATTAAGGGTTTGGGGTTTTTTTTTAAGATTTTATTTATCTATTTGAAAGAGAGAGCATAAGCAGGGGGAGCTGCAACCAGAGGGAGAGGGAGAAGCAGGCTCCCCACTGAGCAGGGAGCCCAGTGCGGGCTCGACCCCAGGACCATGGGATCATGACCTGAGCTGAAGGCAGATGCTTAACTGACTTAGCCACCCAGGCGCCCCTTTGTTCGTTTTTCTTAATTGGAATTATGGTTCATTTATTGTAGATTGACTATCACTTCTTGGGTTCTGTCCTTAAAGGATTAAATTTGTTTGCTTTAGGTACTTGCTCAGAACTCTGGTTTTGACCTTCAGGAAACACTAGTTAAAGTTAAAGCAGAACATTCAGAATCAGGTCAACTTGTGGGTGTGGACTTAAACACAGGTAAGACAATGCAACTATTAGTAGGGGGAGAACTAGATTCAGGTGAGATGAAGCCAGGAAGAATAAAAAATGCAGACAAATGAATCTTGGAGAGATGCTTTGCAGTTTGACACCAGTGTTATTAGGGAACCCTGAGTTCTAAAAAATGATATAAAAATGGAATGACTAGATACAGTAATTAGTGGAATAGAGTAGACATTTGTATAATTTCAAAGAGTATGGATTTTTGATATTGCTGAGTAGTGGTAGGTGGTTAAGGTTAATATGGAAGGATTTCATGTTGGGCTGGCTTTACTCAATCTTTTATTAGGGACTTTAATAAGAAAATACATTAGATGATCATATTCATGGGTGAGAAAAGGCTGAGGATAGCAAATGCTGGAAGATGGGACCAAGTCGTAGTGAAATGATTTAAAGCCCTCATCTTAAATGCAATAACACAAAATCGACAAATACAGTAAGTGGAAGAAAGAGAACTGAGAGAGACACCCATGCGGTATGTGTAAGACCTATTGTCAATAACATCATTTACATTCAAGTTAATAGAAAAGGTTTCTGGGATGAGGGAAATGATAAGCCCATTTTGGCCAGATTATATAGTTTGAGTGCTTTACTTTAAGATGGACAAACAAGAATGTGTCCTGAAAAATAGAGATGTTCAAACATTTGGTAACCAAATACAGCATTACTATTACTAGAAGTCTTCTGAGTAGAGATCAGCCACTTAATCAAAGATGCTGTATACAGGAGTCATGGTTTGGAGCAAAATTGGGAGGAACTTTGGATAATGAGAATAATCAGTGATGAGCAAATCACAAAATACTCTGTTGTCTTAGCATTCTGATCTTATAACCTGCTATGTGTGATTTTAAGAATACTGGGTTACTTTGCAGGTGAGCCAATGGTAGCAGCCGAAGTAGGCGTATGGGATAACTATTGTGTAAAGAAACAGCTTCTTCACTCCTGGTAAGTTTGAGAAAGCCAAAACTAAAATAACCTTTAGGGAATCATCATACTCTTAATTTGGTGTGTTCTGTTTAATTACTTGGGTTTGGTTTTGGTTTTTTGGTTTTGCAAAAATTGTGATCAACTGAAAGTATAGAAATAAAACTAGCCTTCCATGTTTTGGAGGGGAAAGGAGAAACTTAATTGGATATAATTTGCAGTTTGTTTGGAAATTGAGTTGAATTAGGGTTCATATCTCAAACCTGAGCCATCTGATTTTCCACTCCTTTCAGCACTGTGATTGCCACCAACATACTCCTGGTTGATGAGATCATGAGAGCTGGAATGTCTTCTCTAAAAGGTTGAATTTGAAGCTTCCCTTGTGTCATCCGAATCATGAAGACGCCACAGAGTGATCCTAAGAATATAGCGACAGAATTTTTGTCCAAGCCTCAAATAATTTTCAAAAGCATTTTCTTTTCCCATATGAAAAAAGAGAACACTGACATTTAAATTCTGAAGTTCTGAAATTACAGTATTTTTTTAAATTGCACTGCAATGTACACACATTAAGCAGGCTGTTTTTACCCAATGAAAAGGATGTTTTGCTTTAGCTTCAGTGATATGAAAGTACCATGTGAGATAAGTATATGTTATCTACCTTGTTATTAAATGTTCCTTGAAAAACAAATTATAATGGTTTAATAATTCTTCTAATGGATGTATTTTAATTTATCCAATAGGTCCCTATACTGTTACACTTGTAAGTTTTTATGATAATATAAATACTTAAAGTAACTTAAAATTTTGAAAGCATCCCTGTTTTAGTATAAATTCCTATGAGTAAAACTATTGGATCATTGGGACTTTCAATGCTTTCAAAGTAGCTGTGCTAAAATGCTCCCCAGAAGGGCACCTGGGTGGCTCAGTCATTAAGCGTCTGCCTTCGGCTCAGGTCATGATCCCAGGGTGCTGGGATCGAGCCCCACATCGGGCTCCCTGCTCAGCGGGAGGCCTGCTTCTCCCTCTCCCACTCCCCCTGCTTGTGTTCCCTCTTTCACTGTGTCTCTGTCAAATAAATAAATAAAAATCTTTAAAAAAAAAAATGCTTCCTAAAGTTTTAGTGAACAGCAAGATGGGTGAGGTAGAGGCAAGGGAGTTGATAAACTCAAAGTATGAAGTGGAGAAAATAGAAAAGGCAGAGGTAGAAGACCTTTCAAGCATGGGGGCTTAGGGATAAGAGATTTTCAGTGGACCATGTTTTCACAGCCCTGCACCTTTGCTTATGCTGAAGTATCCATCCCAGACCCTCCAGTGCCCTTTTTCTCCCACCTGTCTGCACAAAATTTTTTATCTCTGCAGTCCTGGACCGTGAAGTTGTGTGTTGCAAAGCTTTGTATTTTTGAGGACTTGGCCGTTGCGTACAATAAGTGTGCAGTAAATGTTAAGCTGAAACCTTTTCTTTGATCTTGAAATGGTATTCCAGCGCCCAAAAGGGGTTTGAATATAAAAAGGAAGGAAATCAGTCAAAATGTTCTGTTCATGGGGTATTGAAGGGGCTTCTGGAATGGCCTGGTCCCTCAACGCTAACCCTGAGAATATTGCAACCTATCTGGCTCCACACACGTTAAATTCTAGACCCGGCTGTAGCCTGGGACCAACCAAACCCATCGGCCAAAAAAAAAAAAAAAAAACCGGGCAGTGCGCACGCAGTACGGCGGCCGACGTGGTGCACGCGGGGCGCATGCGCGGCGGGGCCCACGGTGTGTGCGCTGCTCGTGTTCCCGGCATGGGCCCCTCGCCGCCGCTGCTGACCCTGCTGTTGCTCCTGTCTGGTCCGCGGTTCGAGCTAGGTCAGTGTGCTGGCCTGGCCCTGTGTGCCCCGGGAAACGTCAGGAAGGGGGTGGGTCCCCCGCCCTGGTCGGGGAAAGAGACCGTGGCCCCTCCGCCCGCTTCCTGGGTGGGCTTGGAGCGGCGGCAGGCACCTCCCAGAGGCGCCCAACTTGGTCAGGTGGTTAACGGCTCATATCCTATCCTATCTAACTTCTTTTTTACTTTTTTGAACATAAAGTAAGAGAACATAAAGACACCCCCTCCCATGTACCCGTCGCGCAACTTAAAACAGTTGCCAGTTTATAGCTAATCTTGCTGTTTCGGTATCGCTCCCACTTTCCCATTTCCCTGGGGCCTTTTTGAAGCGAATCCAGGCATTACACAATTTTATTTGTAAATACTCAGCTTGAAAAGACAAAGAGTCATGAAAAAAAATGCCGTTCTCTTTCCCTGCCTTAAAAAATTAACAGTTCTCGGGCGCCTGGGTGGGTCAGATGGTTAAGCGTCTGCCTTCGGCTCTGGTCATGATCCCAGGGTCCTGGGATCGAGCCCCACATCGGGCTCCCTGCTCCTTGGGGGCCTGCTTCTCCCTCTGCCTCTCTCTCTCTGTCTCTCATGAATAAATAAATAAAAATCTTAAAAAAAAAAAAATAACAGTTCTCAGTATCATTAAACGTCGGGTTAGTGTTCAAATTCACCTACTGTGTTTGTTACAGTTGTTGAGTTAGTGTCAAAATAAAGTTCATACGTTGCAGTTGTATGTTGTTTCTTAATTCCCTTTTAATCTGAGAGTTCCCTGCTTGCTCCATTTTTTTCTCCCTTGAAGTAGATGAAATCATCAGTGTGTGTCAGAATGAGAACAAGAGGGCTAAAGATAGAGAAACATGCAAAGACGGTGGACTCTGCTGCCATTAAGGAACTTATGGTACTCAGATATCCTTAAGAAGAAACATAACATTCCAAAGTGTGAAGACAAGTGTGGTGGGTTGGAAACAGCACTGACCTGGAAGTAAAGAGACCTGGATCTAGTCCTTACTCCTTGTTAACTAGCTCTTCACGTGATTTTCCTTTTGGGGTCTTGGTTTTTTTCCTGTTAAATAAGGGGGTTGAATTAATGATCCTTTTAGTTCTGATTTTCTGAGATGTTCAAACAGCAGATATGAAGGATCTCAATCGTTTGCTAATTATTGTGCTCTTGTGCTAGATGCCGGGAATACAGTGGCAAAATAGGTATTTTCTGGAGCATATGATATAATGGTGAAAATCAAGAAGTGGGGAAGAAGCGGTAGAGAAACAACAAGAGCAGAAGTATGGATAGAAAGGTGCTAGAAGTATTTCAGGTTCTTAGTGTCTAGATTTACCTAGCTGGGACAAAGAGTTGTTGTATACAGGAATAGAGCAGTAAGGACAGAAATAAACATTTGTTGAATAATTACCATCTGCTCACAACATTTCACACATGTAATTTTAATTTATACAGCGACCCCTTGAAATAGTTAGATGTTGTCTCCATTTTGTGGAGCGAAAGCAAAACTCAAGATTAACTAATTTGCCTAAGGTCACCCAACGAGTTAAGTGGCAGAACAAGAATTTAAGGCCAGATTTTGAGCCTACATTTTTTTTTCATTACACCATTATGAATATTACATATAATCCAAATATTGCCACTTGTTTTATATATATTCATGTGTTACTGATGATGCTTCCTTTTCTCTGCAGGGAATGGGCAGACTACTAACATGGTCCAGCTACCAGGTGGGAGATTCCAGATGGGAACAAATTCACCAGATGGCAGAGATGGTGAAGGGCCTGCCCGAGAGGTGACAGTAAAACCCTTTGCCATTGACATATTTCCTGTCACCAACAAAGATTTCAGGTACATCAGGTGTTCTTCCAGGAGGGGTAGAGACTCTTTCTAATTTTCATTCCTAATATCTAAATGGAAAGTAGCTTGTTTACTATAACATATCATCTTTGCAATAGTACTGTGGGATAAGTGTTACCTACATTTTTCAGATGAAGAATCAAGTCTGGAGACTCACTCTCTGTTAGTGGCAGAGCTGGGCCTGGAACTCAAATCCCCTGACTCTTCAGCCAGTGGATTTTCCATTACATTGGGTATAGCACTGAGAAATATGGGCAGAAGTCAAGCACTCAACAAAAACCTCTTCCACAGGAGGGAGGGATTGGGAGAAGGGTCTTAGTAGCTGAGAGTCTCTTAAATTCCCTTTATATTTACTTAGGGAAATGGCGTTAGTTTAGGACAAACATTATGGTTCCAGCTCAGTCTAAGAAGCCATGTTGAGCTGTCTCAGTCTCCTCAAGGCGGTATGTTTTGTGTGTGTTTGTGTAGGCTAAAGCAGAAAATGATCCAGGAGATATCTGTAACTTACCTTAAATGATACAGGGGGACTATAGAAAGAGGAGTGGGAAAAGGAAAAGGAGGGAACAGAAAGACAAAGCAATGTGGGAAATGACTTAAATGTTACATTGTGGATTTAAAACTCTTTAAAATAAAAAGTTATGGGGAAAAATTGATTCAGGAGACACAGACTGAAGTAAACATAAGGATGGTTGGTGTACTTCTCAGGCCCTTTGACTTAGTGATTCCATCTTTAGAGATTTTCCTTAAGGAAAGAATTAAGGTCTTAAAACATTTAGCTAAAAAGATGCCATTGTAAACAAATATTAACAATATAAGGATCGCTTAAACATACTGTAACAACATCACAGAATATTTAGTAGCCATTAAAATCCTGTTGTCAAAAAGAATTGTGAGATGTTAAGTGAAGAAAGTAGCTTACAAACAATATACAGGGTATGATCCTATTTTTAAAAGTATGTGCATGGAGTGTATATGCATTTAAAAAGAACTGGAAGATGTAACATTGCATTAGGTAACAGATTTTATCCATGTTTTTGTGACTTCCAAAAGAAAATAATTCCAGGAAAGCATCCCCCTTTTTTCTTTCCCCCCCGGGAAGCACCTTCTTAAAGCTATTTAAAAATTCTTGCTGGGGGGCAGAACAGGAAAGGATATGCACGGCTTTATCTTAGTTGATGTGATAATGGATGATTTCAATTTTTTTCTTTTTATCTACTTGTATTTTCTCATTTTTCTGTAATACAATGTGCACTACTTATATGTGCTTTTTGAAAGAATTTTTATTAAAATTGAAGGAGAAATCACTTTTGATCAGGCTTGAGCTATATCATGACAACCAGAAATAGCTAGCTAGCTAGATGCACAGTGTGCACTTTTATATATTTCAAGTTATGACATATTTTATGATAGAAATCTTTTATATTTCAAATTATGGCACTTACGTATTTATTTATTTTTATGACCTTTTTATGATAGACTTCCAGCAAGCCCCTAAACTTTGCTTAGAACCCATGATTTGTCTCTGCTTCTCTGGTAAAAGATTTTCAAACCGTTCACATGCTCTGAGGTTGGTAAATAGCTATTGCTGCCAAATCTGATCACCTCCTCCATTCTCAATGCCCCTTTGATGGGTGAACACTGTCTTCTCATATCAGAGGGCTGGCACAAATGGGGTACTTTTAGCCCAATAAAAACAATCCATCTTACCCTGGCAGTTTGCTTGCTGAATTTGCTATACCATAGCAAACTATGTGAACATCCATTCTAAAATTTCAACACATTATTTTTATTTGATTCCGTTTTTTTCATCTGTTAGATGGAGATAGTAACACACGTTCTGCCTCCCTCTCGTGATTGTTGTGAGAGTAGGTATGTGATGAAGACCTTTCAGAAAAGAGACCCATTCCCACCCTTAAATCTTCTCAACAGCTTTATTCATAATCTCCAAAAACTGGAGATAACCCCGATGACCTGCATGTACCTGGTGAATGGATAAGCAAAATTCGGTACATCCATGCAATAAAATGCTGTCCTGCAACAAAGAGGGACAAACGACCAATACTGGCAACACATGGACAAATCTCAGAAGCATTACACTAAGTGAAGCCAGACCCAAAAGCTACATAATGTATGATTCAATTTCTGTGAATTTATATTCTGGGCAAGGGAACACTATAGGGACAAAAAACAGATCAGTGGTTGTAGAGGCATGAGGGAATTTTAAGAGATGTTTGATAGACTTGCTCTGTATCTTGATTGTGATAGTGACTATATGCTTTGTCAAAACTCACAAAACCATGCACTAAAAAGAGTGCCTTTCTATATATGAATTACACATAGAGCAACAGATTTTAAAAGAAAATCTCCTGCTCAGGCTTTCATGTTAATTGCTTGTTGTTGATGGAAACTCTGTGATGTGTGGCTTTGAGGAGAAAGATATATGAGGTATTCTGGAGCAGGAGGGGGTGAGAGTGGGACATGGAACCTTATCCGCTTAACCAAGTGAAGTATCTCTTCTCAGGGAGTTTGTCAGGGAAAAAAAGTACCGGACAGAGGCTGAGATGTTCGGGTGGAGTTTTGTCTTTGAAGACTTTGTCTCCGATGAGCTTAGAAACAACATGACCCATCAGATGGAGGTGAGAGAACCTGGGCTTGCAGCCAAGGGAATGTGAGCGGGTCATGGGCCCACCAGAGCCACCATAGAGAATCCCACCTGAGAGCTGCAGGCAAGGAAGGAGCAAGAGAGATCCTCTGTGGAAGAGTCAGAGGGGCATACACTCCCAGGACATTAACCCTGAGCTGGTTTCTGCATACTGAGACTCTGTAAGGAACCAGATACATGTAGGGTTCAAGTTACTCCCTGAACTGGCAGGAGAACAGCTTGACATCCCTCTAATAATGGTAGTGAGATGTCCTGCTTTCCAGGGTCCGGAAACAGCCGCACTTGGGCCACCTGAGTCCCAGTCTGAAGTATTTGTTCTGCCTCGTGTGTGTCAGTCAGGAAGGTGCCCTGGCTGGGTCAGAGCATCTTGCCGTCATACTTCTTTTTTGCAGTCTCTTCTCTGGTGGCTTCCAGTGGAAAGGGCGTTCTGGAGGCAGGTAAGGGTTGTTTCCTCTGCCTCATTTTCTACCCCTGTTGACTCTTATTCTGGAGGCCTGGCTTCCCTGGGAGACCCCTTGCCTATCTAGAGACACTAAATTTAAAAGTGTGACAGAAATTTCAAGGCCAACAGCCAAGCAGCCCTGTTTCCTCTGCCCTGAGCTCTTTTCCCATTGCCCATCCCATTTCTCCCTTGGCTCATATTTATGCTCTTTCTGACTCTAGGCCTCTCTTCACTCACCAGGCTATCTCCTCCAACTTCCTTGCTCCATCTAGTGGTAAAAGCTGAACTCAGGCACCCTAAGCCTAGCCTTCCTCAGACTTCTGTGCACTCCCAGAAGCCTGTCTCACTTCATCCTGGCTGTCAGCCTGCAGGTCCTGGCTCTGGCATCCGAGAGAGACTGGAGCTCCCAGTGGTACACGTGAGCTGGAATGATGCTCGTGCCTTCTGTGCTTGGCGGGGGAAACGGCTGCCCACCGAGGAAGAGTGGGAGTTTGCTGCCCGAGGGGGCTTGAAGGGTATAGAGATGGCACGGCGACTTCCCTTTATTCTTCTCCCCATCCTGTCCTGCATGGGGAGCTTTGAAGGGTGGGAAGGGTCCATACTCCCTAGAGCAGTGCTTCTTAAACTGTGTGGTGGAGGGCCAGTTGTTACTGTTTTCAATTCTGATCCATCTCAGACCAATACTTGTGTAAAATGCCAAAAAAATTAATAACTGGAAAACTGGAATAAAGAAACAGACATAAAATTTGTTATTCTTGGAGATTCCACCCAGGCATGTTACATTTCAATTAATATAATCAGAACAACATAGCACAGGGAAGAAGAAAAGAATTACCCAGACTGCTTTTTCCGTAGGTGTGAAGGGACTCACACAAACAATGAAGTTTTGCAATCCTAACTGAACAAAAAGTTAGGAGAAGGAAACAGCAACTCCCCATGTTCCACACCTCTGCAACTCTTTAAACACCAGCTATACCAATAGTCAAAATTCTTGTGATAAATGAGGTTGCTTATTTATCCAATCTAAGTCCAATTGACAAGTTTCTGAAATCTTACTCTCAATTTCTGTACTTATCTGGACATGATCTGGTAACAGATAGCTTACTAGACTGGCATTAGTCAGAACCACACCTGGGATTCCACTGTCCTGGAGCAGATCAGGAGACCAGGGGCTCTGAATGCAGGACAGTGAGTGAGTGGAAGGAACAGGCATGGGAAATAAAAGTAAGTAATCTCTCTCTTCTTTTCTCATCACCTCCTGACTTCCTTTTGGTTCCCTCACTCTCTCTGTCTTTCCCTCTTCCACGACCCTTCGCCTCCCCCTCCCCCACTCTCTCCTTGTTCTACTGGCAGGTCAGCTTTACCCATGGGGAAACCAGTTCCAGCCAAACCGCACCAACCTGTGGCAGGTAAGACATACGTTCCTCACCCCTGTCCTTTCTCAAAGCACTGAATGAAACCTCCTGAGGCTAAGCATCGTGTTGGGCTGTGGGACTGCAGAGGGCTTTGTGTTCTAATGGGACTGGTAAACTGGTAAAGCAAAAGACAGTGTGGTGGGGCTGCATCCTGAAGAGTTGTAGAAGTAAGTGACTGCCTGCGAATGGTGGGGGTGACTTCACAGAGAAGATGACATTGGTGCTGCTGGAATAGGAGTTTGCCAAGTGAAAAGTGGAGGAAAGGGCGTTCACAGCAGAAGAAACAACGTGAGTGTCAGCACTGTATTAGGAAAGGGTACTGTGTGTTCAGGGATGGGACAAATTCAGAGAGGCTGGAGCACAGGGAAACGGGAGGTGTAGGAGATGAGGTAGACAGTGGGTTGTAGGCGGATTATGAAGGAGCGGGTGTGCCAAGATACGGTTTTAGATTTTCCCCTGTAGGCAGTGGGGAGCTGATGAAGGTTTTTAAACAGGGGACTAACAACGTAATTTGATTTGGGGAGGATGCTAGTTGCTAATTTGTGCAGGCCTAAATGAAATAGAGCTGCAGTGGTGGCGGGGTGGGAGGGGTCTCTGAATTTGAGGCTGTGGCAATGGCCCAGGGGATTATGAACATGTGAATTAAGTAGAAGTGGAATGGGGAAGAAGCCAAATGGGAGAGGCATGCCTATAAGATAGACGGGGTTTTGTAATAATCAAAGTGGAAAAGTGGGAGGGAGTTGGATTCAAGCATGAATCTAAGCTTGGGCAACAGGGTGGCGGTGTTACCATTATCCAGAACAGATGATATGCATTTGGGGTCAGAGGGATAGAACTTGATGGGGTTAGCATCAGCTTAGTTTAAGGTGCCCTTTGTCATTTATATGCTCAAACATTGAAAATATGAGTCTAGATCTTAGGACAGAGGTCTGGGTCAGAGCAAGTGGTTTGGGAGTCATCAGCATATATCTTAGGCAAGAATGTTATCCCCCAAGGAGACTCTGTAGAGTAAGGGGCGGGGCACAGCATCAGCATTTCAGGGGGAAGCATTAAAAAGAACCCAAGGGGTAAACTGATCTTTTAGATGATCTTGGGATCAGAGCTTTGCAAAAAGACAGATCTGATTCACTGTGTGATCTTTGATAAATTAACCACTTTGAGCCTCAGTTGCCAGTTTTTTAAAGGGAGAAAATACTTGCCTCACAGCCTTGTAAGGATTAAAAGAGATAAATGTGGCAGCCCGAACACATAGTAGCTGTTGAGTAAATAATTACCTCTTCATCTTCCCTTTAGTGAGATCAGTTTCCATAGAGTAGGAGGAGCTGAACCCCAGTTTTATTGAGAAGATTGAACAAATTGCATCAGCAAATATAGGTTCCTTTTTCAAGCATTTTGGTGGTAAAGAGCAGATGAGGACAGTAGAGTCAGGGCAGATGAGGGAGAGTTAAACCTGTTGGTGGTAGAAGGAAAGAGATGGTATAGGAGAGCACAGGGCAGGCATCAGTCGTCCTTGAGAAGGCAGGTGGTACTGGGCACAGAGGAGGGGAAGAGGAGCCTTCCCAAGGCACTGAAGCACATGGGGTTCAAGGCAGAGGGGTGGAAGCTGCTGAGAGTGGAGAGAGTGGGAGTGGGATAGATCACTGTGGGCACAGGGAAACCACACATTTCCGAATCCAGCCGGGAGGTAATGGTGGAGGACATGAGGTGACTAGTTTAGGAGCTCAGGATGGGCACCTCAGTGTACTGCCTCATGCCCTTCATCCTACCCCAGATGACACAGCAATATGACCTTGGTTTTCCTCTGGCCAAGCAGGAACACCCATCTTGGAACAGGATGGTAAATTTTTTAGCTTAAATTTCTCCCCCTTAGGGAAATTTCCCCAAGGGTGACAAGGCTGAGGATGGCTTCCATGGAGTCTCCCCAGTGAATGCTTTCCCCCCACAGAATAACTATGGTAAGATTTCCTATCATGTTGCTGTCAACACTCACAAACTGGTTGGTGGGATCACTCTGCCTGAAGGATGAGGCAGAGAGAAACACCACCAGGGAAGCGTTTGCTTCCCGAAGCCTTTGATACCTGGGGGTCAGGGGATGGGGAATGGTACTGCCCAACCTGGAACTGACCCACCTGCTGTGCTGCAGGGCTCTATGACCTCCTGGGCAACGTGTGGGAGTGGACAGCATCTCCATACCAGGCTACAGGGCAGGACATGCGTGTCCTTCGGGGGGCGTCCTGGATCGACACAGCTGATGGCTCTGCCAATCACCGGGCCCGGGTCACCACCAGGTGAGGAGACTGGTAGCTGGTAGCTGGGGGCCGAGGGTCTGGGTCCTGGTCTCCCAGAGCTGGTGTTAGTGCTGCTTCCACTCCTCTATCTGCACCCCAAGTTGTGGGGACAGAAGAGAGCATACACAGCATTTGCCATGAGAAGCAAAAGGGCCTCAGGCAACTTGTGCCTTTTCTTGCCAGCTCTTGGTACCCGGAGAGACTGTGTGTCCAGCATCATAAGGGTTTCTCCCCTCGTCTTCATAACTAGTGGCAGAGGCAGGGCAGTGGAATGGCCACATCAGTATTGGTCATGGAAATACGCGCCCTTCAAACTGGAGAGCACATGAAAAACCTTTTTGTTTTTTTTTTTAAGATTTTATTTATTTATTTGACAGAGACGGTGAGAGAGGGAACATAAGCAGGGGGAGTGGGAGAGGGAGAAGCAGGCCTCCCAAGGAGCAGGGAGCCCGATGGCGGGGCTCGATCCCAGGACCCTGGGATCATGACCTGAGCCGAAGGCAGACGCTTAACCACTGAGCCACCCAGGTGCCCCGAAGAATCATTTTCTATAACGATGTTGTTTTACAGTCAAGGAAAAATAGGTTCGCAGAGGTGCTGGGACCCGCTCATGTCACACAGATGCTGGCACCTGAGTGGTAGGGTCCCAGGCTCCCAAGTCCCCTGCTGGGACACTCTCTACTTTGCTCATCTGTAGGTTTATTTTGATGATTTCCCTCTGCCTCCTCCCATTCCTGGGTTCCAGAAGGACTAGAAAGAGACCACGGTTTCTGTGGCCTCAGGAAGTCAGGTTTGCAGATGTTTCTTGGATACATTGAGGCCCCTGCTCTCCCTCACCTCCTTTTCTAGGACAAAGTAGTGGAGAAAGTACTGGCCTGGGAACGAGGAAGCTGGGTTTGCCACTAAATCTCTTGTGCCCATGAAGCAGTGGTTGGCCTTGGCTGAGACATTTAAATATTCCTAGTATCTTGATTCTGGGTCTGTAAAATGGTGAACAAATCCTTCCTGCCAGAGGTGTGGAGAAAAGGCAAATGAGGGAATATATGTGAAAGTCTTTTGGAAAGTATGAAGTACTCACTGGCACTATGGTATTCTCACTTCTTACTGACAGGTTTTTTTCGGCTGAGTTATTCTAAACTATGAGCAGTTGAAGTTACTAGTCATTGCCTTTCTTGCCTTCCAGAGCAGACTCTCATGACTGCTCAGTCACACCTGCTCCACCCTGTCCCAGGTCCCTTCTTATCCCCTTTTCCCCAGGAGTGCCCTCATACCAGGCTTCTTTCTAGACCCTGCCCTCAGTCCTCAGGCACCCTGGACCAGAGCAGACCCTAGGAGGTTGAGCATAAAAGTTGGGTAAGGCTCCAGGCCCCTTTCTCAACGAATGTCCATTCTCTTTCCTCTTCTCTGGTGGCAGGATGGGCAACACTCCAGATTCAGCCTCAGACAACCTAGGCTTCCGCTGTGCTTCCAGTGCAGGCCGACTGCCTGGGGAGTTGTGAACGGCCATGCAGAGCCGTGGTACCCGTGTCACTCCCTGGCCACATTCCCAACACAGTCAAACTTTAGCCTCAGGAATGACTTCGTGCCTCTTCCACCATCCCTCTGTGGCAGGCATCTCTCACCAGGCCAGAAGACGACTCTGACCTCAGAGGAGGGGTACCGCTGTTCCTTGAAGAAGGGACCTGACTTATTGATGGTGGCTGGGGAGCTGGGCGTTTCTCTTAGAGGTCAGATATTAACCATATAGGGGCCAGTCCTCAAACAGTTGGGGCAGAGTGCTCTGAAAGGCATTTTGTTAAAAATTTTTAAATCTGTTCCCTCCCCCTTTCTCAGTGTCTCATGCAGGGATCCGACATTGTTTTCTCAAGGCAGAATTTCCCCATTTTTCTTTGTTTTCCCAGCAAACTGCTGTAGAAGGAAAATACTTCCTTCATTAGCCTCATTTATAGTGTTTCGTATGCCTCTGAAAGAACCTAATTTCTGTTATCAGTATGTAGAATGCAGTAGCTGGGCTCTCTAAAGCACAATGTGAGTCTTCAAAGGGTCTAGGAGAATCGAATTTTGTGCCAGACAAAACTACATTGTGGGAGTCACAAAGTAAATAATACTCGAGAGAGACAAATACCAGAACCTTCCCTTTCTATTGTTAATTATATGAGGGCATCCATATGCCTGTAAACACATGTCCCTGGAAAAGAATCTGCTCCCGTGGTGTCACTGGATGCTGTGAGGTCAGTAAAATCTCCATGATTGTGTGTATCAGACCGTCGTCTCTTTTATCCTCCTCCTGGGACCCTAAGGGAAGTACGTGTGAGTGTCAGGAACTCTGGTCCTCCCATGAGAAGGACCCAAGATGGTGGTACAGCTGGGAAGTAGAGAAGCAGTAAGGCTCTCAAACCACCTCTGGTTCCCTTTCCGTGGGGCCTGGCCCTGAGCACACTTACCAACATGTGATGGGAGCACCCTGCTCTTCTTGTGCAGAGCCTCTGAGAGGGGATAGTGGCCCTAGTTCCAGGGGTCCTTGCCAGGGCCAAGAGCCCCCTCTGGACAGAGGCCTGGACATGATCTCACTCCTCAGCATATATTTCTGTGACTTTGCCTCCTCGCCTGCCCCCCACCCTACCTTCCCGCCTGCCAGCCCCTCAGTAGTTCTCAGCCAGGGAGAGGAGCACAGCCTTGGGTGTGTTCTCGAAGAGGGCAGCCCGGTTCTGCTGCTGTCCCTTCTTCACCCAGTGTCCATAGATCCGGAAAGCATAGGCATCGATGAGTCGGCGCAGAGGCCGGAGGGCATAGGGGTCACGGATGATGATCTCCCGGCTCACAGGCTTCACCCGGCGGTACTGGTAATAGATCCGCACTGAAGCCAGAACAGTTACAGCGATCACCTGTGGAGAGCCAGAACTGGGAAGCTGGCCCAGCCCCTGCCGGCCGGTCTCCTCCCCCTCCGGTGCAGGGGGTCCCTGAGCTTGTTTGCTTGTTTGCCATGAAGCCTTGTGTGCCTACTGCTGGGCCCTTCCTCGTGTTCCCCCTTCCATTCCAACCCCTTCTGCATCTGCAGAGATGTGGGCTGTAGGAGCCAGAGGGGTGATGTCTGCCTTCTCTGAAGCCAGAAGTTGAGCTGGAAGCATCACGGGTGGGTGGGGAGGGGAAGGGCTGGTGCTCTGGAAGCCCGGTGGGTGAAAGGAGGAGTCCCTGGGGGAAGGAAGGGGACTTGGGGGCTTGGACTTGAGGAGTCCTGCCCCAGGGCCCTGGGTGGGAGGGGAGCTTCAGTACCTTGAACTTGCCCCGGGGACTGAAGTGACGCACTTCTTCCACCACATACTGCTGGAAGAAGGGATGCGCTAAGGCCTCTTCTGCTGAATAGCGGCCCTGGGGGTTCACCACCAAGAATCGGGAAACCTGAGAGAATAAGGAAGGGGAGCGGAAAACACCAAGGCAGGCTCCCCTCCAGCACTTGAAAAGACATAGGGTCTTCCCAGCAGGGTCCTCCGTTCTATAGCACGATATGCCCCCCACCCCTGTTGGGGACTTCCCCTCGCCTGAGTGGAGGAGCCAGCAGGCCTGGCCTCTCACCAAGTCCTTCACAGTGTCTGAATAATCATCCCATTCAGGTGAGCCAAACTGGTAGTTGCCACTCATGATCATCCTCAGCATCAGCATCTGTTTCCGGTGCCAGAAGGGCGGGGAGCCAGCCAGCAGGGTGTACATGATGACCCCGGTGCTCCACCTGGCACCAGGTGGACAGGGAGGAAGGCAGGAGGGCTGGCTGCAGCTCCTGCCATTTCCTGCCCTCCCCAGCCAGGTGCTCCTAGCCATGGGAACATCCCTGTCCCTATGGGTCACTGCCTTCCCCAACACACTCACATGTCCACCTCCTTCCCATAGCCTGGGTGGTCATCATTCATGGAGCATTCAATGATCTCAGGGGCCAGGTAACTGGGAGTCCCACAGACCTCTGCAGGAACAGTTACCATCAGGATAGGTCAGCCGGGGGCACTTGGAAGACAAGGGTCCAAAGAAAACAACGGAGATGAAAGTGCCACGGTGCTTGGGCTGGGACTCAGATTCTAACACTGACCAACTTCAGGACCAAGGGCAGGGGCTGAGTGCTGGCTCCTAGGACCACCTGCCAGGGCCGGTTTCTTGGCCTGGAACTCAGGCAGTGGGAACCTGGCCCAGCCCTGGGAAGAGGCTTACCTGAAGAGACAGCTTGAAACAGTAGGATTTTTATCTCGGAGGTGGGGGAGCGGGAGAGGGGAGGGGGAATTGGGGAAGAAATGCAAGCATTTTCTGTTCCTGGGAGCATGGATGAGAGAGCCTGAGCCCTTGACATGGGCCAAGGTCATGTTACCAGACCTCGAAGCTTCTCTCCTGGCTCCAGCTGGCAGGAAAAACCAAAGTCTGTGAGCTTGATGTTCATGTCATCATCCAAGAGGATGTTCTCGGGCTTCAGATCCCGATGCACAATGTTGAGTTTGTGCAAGTTGCGGATAACCTCCAGCAAGGCTCTCATGATCTTTCTGGGGTGGGACAGGCACATGTTACTCTTATCTCTTCCTCTGCAGGCCAGGTAACAAGCAGGGAGACCAAAGCCCATATACCTGCCAGACTGCCAGTGAGGGAGGACTCAGGACAGGCTGGGGGAAGGCTACAAAAGCCTGCAGGGCACACCCCCAGCCCAGACAAACGCATGCTTTGCCCCCTCCAAGACCTTGGTGGCGGTACCACTCATACTCGGGGGCAGGGAGTGGTGATGGGGACAGATGGATCCTTACCTGGTTTCCTTCTCACTCAGAGTGACCTTCTCAGTGAGGTAATCAAAGAGCTCCCCTCTCTTCATCCTGTGGGGACAGAGTGTTTGTAGCTGGATTGGTTCCAAGACCACCCCCTCCTTATCCTGCTCCCAGAGACCTATTTCCTTCCTCATATCTCCAGAGACAAAGTGGGCCACAGTGAAGGACCCAGGGCTGTAGGGAAAAGCTGGGGAAGTGAGTGGAAAGGCTATCTGAAGATTAGAAGAGCAGGGGATGCTGAAGGGGTGGGATGGCACCAGTGTCGGGGTTCCCCCTTGGTGGAAGTGACAGCACAGACTAGGATCTGTGAGGGTCAAAATCAGGGCTGGGAGGTGAAAGAGGGACCCAGAGCCACTGGCCCAAGGCCCCAGATCCAGATTAGAAGGACAGGAGTATCCTGATTCTTCCCAGGAATGAATGGTAGAAGCAATAGTACAAGTGCTGGGGGAGCAAAGCTTGCTTATTTTAGGATTAAGAATTACGGTTCAGTCTTCTCACTTCTTGGGATGACGTAGAAAGGTCTCTGCTAGAACAATCTAGTTATACTCTGGAGGGCAACTCAGGACAGCATTAAAAATAGCTTCCCCAAGCAACTTCTTCAAAGGTTAGGGATATTTGAGCTGCCTACAGGCTCTACAGGACCATGCCACTGAGCGGAGTTGGGACAGCTGCAGCTGGTTAAGTCTTGGGGGTCCTGGGAGAGTCTCCCGTGGTTAAATAGGAAAGGTATGTCCTGCCCTCTCCCATTCACCCCTCCAGGGAAATTGGTGGGATTCCTAAGGCACAAGGGATTTGGCTGGTGGCACAGAGGCAAGAAAACCCTTGAGCTTAGCTGGTGGGGTGGGGAGGGGGTTCTATCTAGGAGATAACCTAGAATTTACAGAGGTGAGCCTTACTTACACAATACCTGTACTGTGTTCCTAAAAGGTAATGTGTGAATCCAGTTTTTATCTTTTTTTTTTTTTTAAAGATTTTAGTTATTTGAGAGAGAGAGAATGAGAGAGCACAGGAGGGGGGAGGGTCAGGGAGAAGCAGACTCCCCGCCGAGCAGGGAGCCCGATTCGGGACTCGATCCTAGGACCCCAGGATCATGACCTGAGCCGAAGGCAGTCGCTTAACCAAACAAGCCATCCCCAGTTTTTATCATTCTAATTCCATATTAAATACACGAGGAGAATTCACTGTTAGCAGCTGCAGAAAGATTTACCAGTAAACACTGGGTACTGCCTTCCTGGAGTTGGTAGTTTAATTGAACACACAGACCAAGTTACCTTGTGTCTCCAAGTAAAATAACCTTGCACATACTCAGTATGGCTACAGTATGAAACGTTCACAATCAGTATGAACAGTATGAAACAATACAAAATCTACTTGAATAATTTCAAGTAAATCCAGTCCCTAAATTAGCTGTTATATATGGAGAAATCAAGACAGCCCCACAACATGATTCATGCAGCTGAGATTTGCATTCTTTAGTGAGGACTCAGTGGAGTGGGGGAACAAGGAGCTGGAGAGCTCCCTTCTCTGGCAAGCTTTTCTGATAAAAATCATAATAAGTCTGAATGCATTGTTCACAGAACACTTTGTGTTGTTGGAATTTAATGCTGAGAGCCTGGTTGGTGTCATTTTTCCTTTCTTGAGAAAACAGAGGCTCCCGGAGCTAAAAGGCCCACTGGGAGCAGGGCCCTTGCTCTCTGGCTCTCCCTTCTGCCCTTCTGCTGAGCCTTCTTCAGGTCCTGGCTCTGATCCCTCCCTCACTTCATCTGGGTCTCTGCTCAGGTCGCCTTCTGGAGAACATTCCCTGACCATTTAAAGAAGCCCCACCTCTCTCTAACCCCTGTTCTGCTTTATGTATCTGTACATGTACATAACTGCGCACGTAGTATGGCTTATTTTATTGCTTTCGGTTCGCTCACTGTGAAAATTGTTACATGAAGTCAGGGACCTTATATGTCTTGTTCATTGCTGTATCCTCCATGTCTAGAATGAGTATTCAATGACCACCTTTGTCATCATCATTGTAGTTAATAATTCATAGCATTTACATCCTGCCATTCACTGTGCTATTATTACTTCTGTAATACCCACGAGAAAACAGATACTTAAAGAAATCATCTAGCTTCCAAATGGCGGACCCAGGATTCAAGACCTGGCAGCCTGACCCCCAGGGCTGATCTACCTAAAGCATTGGTGATCCTACTTGGCCTCCACAGTGTAGAGAGCTGGCTGTTGGTCTCCAGGAAGCACTGGAAAGGGGACCACAATAGGAGGTTCTCCGACAGGCCCTAGGGTGTGGCTGGGTCCGGGGCTGGGTACTTACAGATCAAACACCAAGAAGAAGAAAGTGTTGGTCTCATAAGTGTCCTTCAGCTGTACTGAAATGGAAAGGACTAACTTGTAGCAGGAGAGCTTGGGCAGAGAGGCAGCAGGGGTAGAGGGCAACAGGATTAAAACTGCTTGGACCCACCCCAACAGCTGGAAGCCATATCAGAATGGCGTTCAAAGGAGGACCCCCAGGGAGGGACCCGCCCAGGGGCTTCACTTTCCCATTCCCCGACCTGCAACCAGCCCCAGCCCTGCTTGCAACCCCTTCTGTCTGGCTGGAAGAGGAGGCTTAGAGCTGAATCTCCGCAGCGGTGAGCATGGAGCTGGGAACCTCAAGCCTCAGGGCACTGGACTGGCAGGGCTTCAGGGGACACGAGACACCCTGGGTTCTGGCTAGCTGCAGAGTGGGGCTGCACTCCCTGACTTGGGTTATTAGAGCAGAATCATGGTGGAGCACCCTGCTGGGGTGAGTAGGGCCATTACTCACCGATGTTGGGGAGCCCTGAGACCTTGCGCAGGATGTCCACCTCCTTCAGCGTGGCCTCTCGCAGCTCCCGCACCTCCTCAGAGCTGAAGCTGCCTCCACCAGTGACGTCAATGATCTTCACAGCGTACTCCTTGCGCGTGGGCTTGTGGATGCAGCGCCTGACGACGCTGCTAACTCCTCTGGGGGTGCAGAGCACAGGTGGTCCCGGGGGCCCCTCATCCCAGGGAGAGCCCAGGTCCGAGCCCCCACAGAGATGTCCTGCCTCATCCACCAACTCCCTGGGAGCTTTGGGGGATGGTAGGATGAAGAAGGCAGATGGAGGATGATTTGTCTGGAGCTGATGAGTAATAAGCCTGGTTTTAGGACTCTTGACTCCTAGTTCAGTGCTCTTTCTCAGCATCTAAGGCCATAATCTTCCCTCTGACCCCTGATCTCTGACACTTGGCACAAAGCTGGGTTTGGACGTGCTTGTCAACAGCACCGGGAGAGCTGTGCTGGGAGAGGTCTCTTATCCGGGTGCTTTTATACCCTTCTCATCTGTCCTGGCCAGGAGGGCAGGACCCCAAACTAAGGGTTTCTCCAAGTGGACAGTGCTTTGGGGATGGAAAAGGGTCAGTGCTCAGGGCCCATGGAACTGGCTGGAGCCTAAGACAGCACTTCCTGGGGAAGGTCTGGGCTTTACCTGCCCAGGATCTCCTTGGGCTCATAGTTCTCATAAAAACCCTGTGCTGAGTACGAGTCTGGAAGTGCCTCATCCCGCGTCATGCTCAGCAACTCTGGGGTGATTCTGAGGGGCTCTGAGAGAGAAATAGAAAGAAGCTGTCAGCTAAATTCTACCCCTGAAACTAATAATACACTAGGTGTTAACTAAATTGAATTTAAATTAAAAATTTAAAATAAAAAAGAAGAAGCAGCTATTAGCCATCCTGATCTAGGTGATGTGCTTTTTGAGGGCTGGAACCCTTTCTTGCTCGTCTGTATCTCCTGGCACAGAGCAGGTCTATTGTGAGTGTTCAAAATAAATGTGAACTGAAAAACCCTTTGGAAAGAGTCCACCTGCATCTTCCCACTGGATGTAAACTTTTGTGAACCCCAGGCAACCATGCGGCTCCCCGAATGTTCTCGCTCTAAGCTGCCGCACCTGTAGTAGCAACCGCAGATGGTTGGCCAGGCCTAAGCCCAGGCCAGAGGCAGGAGGTTGGGCATCAGCCCCCAAGATCAGCTCTGACGAGGCCGGCACACCCTTGCTTTTAGAAAGAACCCCAGAGAAACTTTGCAGAGGACAAATTAAAGGGCCATTTGCTCTCTTTGAGGAGATGAGCCTGGTCCTGCTTTTCCTCTGCTTGTTCGCTGCACTTGTGGAAAAGATGAGAAGTTTCATGATTTCGTCTTAATATGGCAGTCCTATAGACTCTCCTAACCACCTGCAGTCCTAACTGTGCTCACCTGAAAACTCCCCTCCTTCCAGGACACACTTCCAGTGCTTCCCACTGTTTCTTACTCATTCTGCCCTTAACCAGGACTTCCCTAACCTTCCTGCCTGCCTGCCTGCCTGCCTCCGTCCCTCTGCCTCTCCCTCCCTGTCTCTCTCTTTCTTTCTTTCTCCCTCTTCTTTCTTTCATACTCTTTGAGAAGCACTCTGCCAGGTGCTCAGAGGGATGCAGAGCTTAATGGTCCCAGGCTCTGGTATCATTTGTCAGTGTGTGGGGTTACCTCCTCCATTAGACTGATCTTCTCTGAGACGTCCCAGCCATTCCTGCCCCCTGTGCCCAGTGCTGCTTCCCGGATATGAGTCAACGGTTGGAGGTATCCCTTTGGCTCAGGGTCCTGATGGCAGGATGGGCCTGTCCTCAGAATGTCCCACATCCTACCAAAATACTGGCCAGTGAGCCCCGAGTGATCCTGCCGCAGTGTGGGGCGGTACAAAGCCAGGATACTCAGGCCCGGACCCAGAGCTGCTGAGCTGGCTGGCTTTGCCTCAGGAATATAGATGCCACCAGGGTACTAAACTCCTACCTCAGATTCAGGATTCGAGGGATGGAGAAAATCATCTACCAACAGGAAGAGGGGCAGACAGAAAAGGGGCACAAGATGACACTCAGCAGGCCGAAGCTACCTCTAGTCCCACTCCTACTGCCCTTTCTGGGCCCAAGAAGGCCTGGCCTATCAAAGGGGCCAATTTGCCGACCAGCCAAGTGGGGCTAGCTGTTCCAGGAAGCCTGGCGTCCCCAGTGCTGGTGCCTGGTTACTAGAGGAAGAATTAGAATAACAACAGTCTCCTCTGCCAACAGCCGGTGCCTGGGCTGCTCACAGCCTTCCCAGTCAGCAACCCCAACCGAGCACCGAAATATCCGTTCCTGTTAAGACAAGCCCATTTCCTCGCAAGTCCTTTTTAAGTTCCCAAGATGGGCGTCTGTGCCCCCCCTTCCCCAAACTGGGTAGCACACGGTCTCTCCCTTTCCCCAGCCCACTACAGGCAGAGGGTATATCTGGGCCCACCCCAGGAAGCCATCCAGGCTGGGGGCTCCATTCCCTGGCATGCACTCACCTCTCTGGGGTGGGGCGGAGGGCCAGCCCCTTGCTCTAGGCCTAACTTGGGGCCATCTTTGTGCTTCTGTCCATTGCCTCCACCCACACTCCCCACCCCTTTCCCAAGACTCCTTTGGAAGGGGTCCCCAGACGGGAGTAGGTAACCTGGTTCTTTTTGGAACAAAACATCCCTCCCCCAAGCTCAGAGAGCCTGAAAATACAGGGAACCCACTTTCTGTAGGCAAATACCCTGAGGGGGCTTTAAGAGTCAATGGTGTCACTCTGCATCCATCTGCCTTCAGAAGGGAAAAGTGGGTCTAACAGCTCTTGGGGTTTCTGTCTTCTCTGCCGCAGAGCCTCTCCCTCTCTCTGCCTGTCGCCTGGCTTTTGTCCATCACTGGCCCAGCTACTCACTGTTAGGTCCTCGCAGGCCCTTGAGTGAACGTGACAGGAATCCCAAAGGTCTCAGAGCCCCTTGGGGAATGGGGACAATTGAGGGCTGAAGCAGTTCCCCCGCAGACACTCGTGGCCACAGTAGGATATCTTGCTGCTCGTCCTTTGGGCTTTGCTACTTGGTGACGGAAGGCAGACGTACCAGAAATAAATCACAACTGCAAACTTGGGATGCAGGCCAAGGCCCGGCAGGGGCCAAGTCTCACCAGGAGGTGACCTCTGCTGGAGGGTGAGGGAAGCTCAGCAGAGGTGACCAGTCTCCCCTTTGGAGCTCCGTTGGCTTCCAGGCACAGAGGAGACAAAGCCAGCCTTGGTGGGAATGCATTCCCTTCTCTGGGAGCCATTTCTGTACGTGCTGAGAGCAGGGCTCTGGAGAAAGCCCAGCACACCCACAGAGCAGCCCTGGCTGCCATGGGGACCCAGAGTTGGTGCCCACCCAGGAACAGTTTGTGGGGCTGACCCGCAAAATGCAGACTTGAAGCGTTAGGGAACATCCCCGTTAGGAATCTATCTCTGATCTACCTCCGTGATTTCATCCTTAACCCATTTGGTGTTCAGCCTGTGGGCCACTGGGAGGAGCTCCGGGTGCCAGAAAAAGCGTATGAGCTCTGACAGGGTGCACCTTTGGGCTGTTTGGGTGAGGGTCATCAGAATGATGAAGAGGTTGACAGAATTGGAAATAATGTATGTGACGTGCTGGCACACAGTAGATACTGCTCTCTTGTTCTAAAGCTACTTTTCTTTTTTTTTTTAAGATTTTATTTGTCAGAAAGAGAAAGCACACAAGCAGGGGGAGCGGCAGAGGGAGAAGCAGGCTCCCCACTGAGCAAGGAGCCCAATGTGGGGCTCGATCCCAGGACCCTGGGATCATGACCTGAGCCGAAGGCAGCCACTTAACGACTGAGCCACCCAGGCGCCCCTAAAGCTCCCTTTTTCAAACCCCTAATTCTAATATAACAAATGAAGGGAGCTGTAATACAGTGCTTCACACAGAGGCTAGGCCCACAAGCACCCATTTGATTAGCATTTCACAAAGCACTTGCACATCTTCACTTGCATCCTAAAACTCTGGTATTAAGCCCATGGTAAAGAGAATGTGACTTGCTCACGGTCACGAAATAGGTGAGTAGGAGGGCCCAGACTAACCCCAGGTGTGGGCCCAAGCGCTCTTTCCATTATTCATGCTGACCACCTATTTCTTCCACTCTGGGGAGGTACTTTCCTGGATTGCTGCATTAGACAGGAGTTGCGCATGACCTGGGGTCTATGCATAAAGGCCTCTGCTTGCTGAGATGCAACATCTTGCTCCAATGATGGGAACACTTCCATCTCGTCCTTTCACTCACTGTCACTAAACTCCCCGATCCCTTTTGTTGTCCTCATGTTAAGCTATAGACTTGACTTCTGCTTTATACCTCAGTGTTTATAAAATCCCTTCTAACCTCAGGGCAAAAGGCCAATGTATCTAGTGGATTATTCCCTGGGTCTATCTCTGTATAGCCATGGCTCCTACCAGGGAGAGGCCAGGACAGCCAGACTCTCGCATTTTATTGATGTCAGCAGTTCATTTTCCTTTTACTTTTTACCTTATTTAAATTCAATTATCATATACTATATTATTAGTTGCAGAGGTAGAATTCAGTGATTCATCAGTTGCATACAACACTCAGTGCTCATTACTTCAAGAGCCCTCCTTAATGCCCCATCACCCAGTTACCCCATTCCCTCGCCCACCTCCCCTCCAGCAACCATCAATTTGTTCCCCAGTTAAGGGTCTCTTATGGTTTGCCTCCTTGTTTTCATCTTATTTTTCCTTCCCTTCCCCCATGTTCATCTATTTTGTTTCTAAAATTCCACGAGTGAAATCATATGGTATTTGTCTTTCTCTGACTTATTTCACTTAGCATAATGCCCTCTAGTTCCATCCACGTCATTGCAAACGGCAAGGTTTCATTCTTTTTGATGGCTGTTTACTTTTTTTAACGGAAACTCTACACTCAATGTGGGGCTTTAACTTATAACCCCAAGATCAAGAGTGACATGCTCTACCTGCTAAACCAGCCAGGTGCCCCATTTTCCCTTGATTCAACAATACACTATTAGGGTACCCACCACATACCATTACACCTTGGACATTAAGGGGCAATAGCACTATGAACTTAGAAGTCCTGAGCTTTCCCAGAAATGGGCAAAGGAGCCCACTGATGAATCCAGAAGGAAATATGGTGGGGGATTTGCCAGAAATGAACTTTCTGTGGTGATTCAGGCAAGGTGGTCTTGGCCCCTTTCAGGAACTCAGTTAATACTGAGTGGGGCCCTCTAGGGGCACCTGGGTGGCTCAGTTGGTGAAGTGTCTGCCTTTGGCTCGGATCATTATCCCAGGGTCCTGGGATGGAGCCCCACGTCAGGCTCTCTACTCAGTGGGGAGCCTGCTCCCTCTCCCTGCCGCTCCCCCTGCTTGTGCTGTCATTAAATAAAATCTTAAAAGAAAAAGAGTGGGGCACTCTAAGAACACAGCTGAGAACAGGAGACGGCAACTGAAAAATTTACTCAATAGCACTTTCCTCACCTTGTAGTAACACAGGTCTCTGAAACTTACAGATTGGAAAAGAAATCAGATAGCCTCGGAAAGGTCCACTGGAAAGTAAAAAAGTGCAGAGCACAATGTAGGCTGGAGATAACTTCCAGAAGTGAATGAAATTTTGAGTTGTGAGGAAGGGAGCTGGGTTCATTTTTAAAAAATGATGCACCCCAAATTGAGTCCATCTCAAGACAACATGGAGTGGGCAGTCACAGCTAGCTTGAGTCTTTCAGCAAAGGGAAGCTACAGTGCCTTACACAGAAGAAAAACATTTGCAGGGGGACTGCCTGTATTGAGAGGCTGGTTTTCATCTCTGACCAATTAACTGGATACAGTAGGGGAAGTGACATGTAGTGCTGACCTGGCCAGAGGAACCCACTCACGTAATAGGTCTATTCCCACACTTCTTGTTACTGCTCAGTTTACCAAACACTGGCTTCCACCTGGAACCTTTTTAATAAGCACTATGTTTACTAGTGAGCTACTCCTTACAGAACTACTTTTCTACAAAAGCTCAGGGAGCTCGGCCAGATCATCCAGGTGGATGCGAATTTAATACTGAGACTATAAAACGGATACGCTTAAAGACAAGACAATTGGGTACTTTTGCAAAATGCAAATACCGTATCTAATTTATAATCTTACACTTCAAAGACACCACATTTTGGGAGAAAATCACTTTATTCTAATTAATTCACAAATGAGAACATCACAAAAGGTGATATAAGGAGGCACACAAACATCTGCCCAACCCCAAATTCAAACCATCTCAATGAACTTCTATACAGTAAGAATTTTTTTCATTCCAATTCTGAAGAAAGCTGTATTTAATGATGAAGGAGAAGCTTACTGGTGGTTTTACACCTTACATATTCACCTTCAATTATATTTTTATGCTAAATTAACTTGGTTATGAGAGATGATTTTCCATATCTTCAATTTGAACTTCTTGATTAGGCTAATCCTGCAAACAGAAAAGATAAGTTAGAAGAGAAATAGCTGTATATTCTTAACAAAGTAGAAGCCCTCCAAACGATAAAAGGAGGGATGAAAACCCAAGGTTATCAGTTTCTTGCCTAAATGAAGGCAGGAAAATGAAAACGGAACATTTTAATAGATGGTGAATTCTTAGGTCAACAGGGGGAAGTTACATAAAAACAAGTTCACTGCCAACATTCCACACAGCCCAAACCTCAGAGTTCCACTGAGGGACTGAATACACTCATCTCTCAAATAATCTGTGAAGAATGCCAAGGACTTATCAGTCTTTATACCCAACCTTGGACTTCAGTGAAAATGGAATGTAATTTTTTATTCACAGCTTTAAGGCTGTAACACCCACATCCTGTAACCAGAACAAGACCTGGCACACTAATCTACACCCACTTAAGGAGGAATCAGATTCACAACATAACTGGTAAAAGCGTAAGATAATGACTAGAAACCTCTGGACCAGCTCTGTTAGAAAAACTAGATTATTTTTAGAACGAAAACAAAATCTCCTCTAGGGCCCAGGAGTATCATGCTGTGAACTGCACAGATGCAGGTTCAATCAGGGATTGATGTTATCACCTACCATTTGCAAATCTGCACTGTTTCAGCACCTCGCTGAAACCTTCACAAAGCTTCAGGTCACCCTGGTTCTGGGCGCACTCCAGAAACTGTTTCATCTCATAGTGGCACGGGCCAAACTGCTGCTGCTGTGCGGCCTGGGTTCCCTGAGGCTCCTGCAAAGGCGTTAACATTCAGGACCATTAAGAAAGGAAATTAGATTTACGCCTGAACAAAGAACAGTATCCAATGTCTTTGAGGTCAGCTGGGGAAACAACTACAACTAGATGCAAATTAAAGTTTCTACCTAATAACATGGAAAGTGAAAATTTTTAAAGGCAGAAAGCGAATCTGTGTCTTTGGGGCATCTGGGTGGCTCATTCATTAAGCGTCTGCCTTCGGCTCAGGTCATGATCCCAGGGTCCTGGGATCGAGCCCCGCATCGGGCTCTCTGCTCCGCGGGAAGCCTGCTTCTCCCTCTCCCTCCCTCTGCTTGTGCTCTCTCTCTCTCTCTCTCTGACAAATAAATAAAATCTTTTTTAAAAAATAAAAAATAGGGGCTCCTGGGTGGCTCAGTCGGTTAAGCGACTGCCTTCGGCTCAGGTCATGATCCTGGAGTCCCGGGATCGAGCCCCACATCAGGCTTCCTGCTCAGTGGGGAGCCTGCTTCTCCCTCTCCCACTTCCCCGCTTGTATCCCCTCTCTCGCTGTCAAATAAATAAAATCTTAGATAAATAAATAAAGGCAGAAAGCAAATGGGCTTTAATCCAGTTATAATCAGAAAGACTCAAGAACAAAGACGCAAAATACCAGTGAGGTTCAGTGAAGTTTCATGGAGGAGAAAGTGGGACTATTCTAGAGAAACGGATGAGAGTATCAAATACACCAGAAACACAACAGAGTATACACTATACACTCATGCTCATCAGAGGAGAAAATTCACATACTTCAGAAAGAGGGGCAGTGGCAAATATCGTAAGAGGTCAGAGAGCACAGAGCGACTAAAGAGA